TGTTGAAACGTAATTGCCAATGTAACAGTACTGGGAGGTGGGGCCTCTAAGAGGTGATTAGGTCAATGGTGGCTTCATGCTGTTATGGTGGAGTTAGTTATCATGGGAGTTAGTTATCCTAATAAAGGAAGGAGTTCAGTCTTCTCTTTCTCTCTCTCTCTCATCTCATGCATGCACCTTCTGCCCTTCCACTATGGAATGACCCTCACCAGATGCTGGCACCATGCTCTTGGACTTCCCAGCCTCCAGAACCATGAGCCAAATCAACTTCTTTTCTTTATAAATTACCCAGTCTATGGTATTCTGTTACGACATGAGAAAAGGGACTAAGACATTGATTGATTGATTGATTGATTGAGACTGAGTCTCACTCTTTCATCCAGTGAATGCAGTGGTGTGATCTCAGCTCACTGCAACCTCTGCTTCCCAGGCTCAAGGGATTCTCCTGCCTCAGCCTCCTGAGTAGCTGGGATTATAGGCGCCTGCCACCATGCCAGGCTAATTTTTTTTTTTGTATTTTTTGTAAAGACAAGGTTTCGCCATGTTAGCCAGACTGGTCTTGAACTCCTGACCTCAGGTGATCCATCTGCCTTGGCCTCCCAAAGTGCTGGGATTATAGGTGTGAGCCACCATGCCTGGCCCTAAGACATATATTTAAATCGATGAGTTTATAATGATACTGAAAAAGCAAAACAGTCCTCACTGGTCATCTTTGGAGAATGCTAAGAAAATAAATCATCATTCTGAAAGCTGGTATATAAGGTGAAAAAAAATCAAGCTTTTATGCTGGCTTTCCTATACAAACTGTACCTTAGGATAAGCAAACAGTTGATGTGAGGAAATTTCTCTTTATGGAAGTATTACAGTTAATGAAGAAAAATGAAAGAAATAGACAATTACCATTTTGCAATCCCTAATGAATTAACTTAGGTAATCATATTCAATGGCTGATATCACAAAAAGAAAGAACACTAGGCACCATATACTTCCTAACATAAACATACACTATTACCTATGAAATTATCTTGCAAAAAATAATAATAATAATCCAACCTGAATCTGATTAAGCCTCATCTAACTACCAATTCACAGGAAGCACAGGGAACTTGGGAAAATGTTAAACATCTCAGGAATGCAATGAGCAAAATTCAGGTTATAGTAAACTCTTTCGAAGCCAGTTTCTTCAAAAATAATTGAAAATATGAGGGAAAAAAAGGGGGAGCCTACAGATCAAATAAGACTTAAGACATATATAAACCAGTTGCAATATATGGACCATATATGAATTCTTATTTTATTTTATTTTATTTTTTAGATGGAGCCTTGCTCTGTCGCCCAGGCTGGAGTACAGTGGCGCGATCTCAGCTCACTACAACCTCTGTCTCCCAGGTTCAAGTGATTCTCCTGCCTCAGCCTCCCAAGTAGTTGGGATTACAGGTGTGAGCCATCATGTCTGGCTAATTTTTGTATTTTTAATAGAGATGGGGTTTCACCATGTTGGCCAGGCTGGTCTTGAACTCCTGGCTTCCAGAGATCTGCCCACTTTGGCCTCCCAAAGTGCTGGGATTACAGGCATGAGCCACCACACTCAGCCATGGACTCTAATTTTAAAAAAGTATAGGACAATTGGGGAAATAAGAACACTAGTTGGATATTTTACGATATCAAGAAATTACTGTTCACTTTGGGAGGCCGAGTCACTTGAGGTCAGGAGTTCAAGACTAGGCTGGCAAGCATGGTGAAATCCCATCTCTACTAAAAATACAAAAAAATTAGCCGGGCGTGGTGGTGCATGCCTGAAATCCCAGCTACTCAGGAAGCTGAGGCAGGAGAATTGCTTGAACCCGGGAGGCAGAGGTTGCAGTGAGCTGAGATCATGCCATTGCACTCCAGCCTGGGCAACAGAGCCAGACTCCATCTCAAAAACAAAACAAAACCAAAAACAGAAGTTACTGTTAAATTTTTTAGGTTGCATATGTGATTTTTTTTAAGTGATCTTATCTTTTAAAAATACATACTGGCCAGGTGCTATGGCTTGCGCTTATAATCCCAGCTCTATTTAGGGAGGCTGAGGTGGGTGGATCACTTGAGATCAGGAGTTCAAGACCAGCTTGGCCAAGATGGCAAAACCCTGTCACTACTAAAAATATAAAATTAGCTGGGTGTGGTGGTGGGTGCCTGTCGTCCCAGCTACTCGGGAGGCTGAGGCAGGAGAATCACTTGAAATGGGGAGGCAGAGATTACAGTGAGCCAAGATTGTGCCACTGCACTCCAGCCTGGGTGACAGAGCAAAATTCTATCTGAAAAATAATAAAATTAATTAATTAATTAATTAATTACATACTGAAATATTTATGGAGGAAATCATATACTTGAAATTTGCTTCAAAATAGTCAGTGTAGGGGTTTGGGGGTGAGTGGAGGATAGGTGAGGTAAACGTGAAAGAAGCTTGGCCATGAATTGATGATAACTGTTGAGGTAGGCTAATGGAGTTTATTATTCTGTTATCTCTACTCTTGTATATATTTGAAAATTACCATAATATAAAATTATAAAATAAGTAATATATGCTTATATATGTAGAGAATATTTCTGGAAAACTATACAAGATACTGGTTACAGTAATTGCCTTTAGGAAGGGGAAGTAGGCCTATGAGACAGGGATGGGGGAGTCAAGACTTTCTTCTCACTGTACAATTATTATATTACCCACAGAATAAATTAATTGAATTATTTTAACAGTCAAAATGAGTAAATAATTACATATTTTCCCCTCTCTACCAAATAATTAATCATTAGACTACCGACATGCTCTAATATATCCTGTTCTGTCATAACTGTTCTTGACTGCACATACACTTCAGCTACCATCCATTTCTGTAGTCTCTTTTACAGCTAAAATTTTCAGCAAAAGTTCTTACTTTCACTGTCTCTTCCCCTCAAATATCATTCCCTTTTTCATCCCACTCCAATCTGGTTGCCCTCCTCCCCACTCTCCCCAAACTCCCTCTGTCAAGGTCACCAGTAAGTTACATGTTGCTAAATCTAACAGACACTCTGCATTTAAGTTGCTCAGCCTGTCAATAGCATTTGGCATAGTTGGCCATTGCTGTTACCATACACTACCCCTTCTCAAATTCCAAGATACCACATTTTTCCTCTATTCAACCTCTAAACACTGAAATATTCCAAGGTTGAGTCTTAAGCTTTCTTTCACTTCTCCATCGACATTCTCTCCTTAGCTGAGTTCTTCCACTCCCGTGGCTTTAAATACCACCTATTGCTAATGTCTCCAAAATTTACATCTCTAACCCTGACCTCTCCTCTGAGGGCCAGATCCATATATCCAACTGCCTACTAGGTATCCTACACTTGGATGTCTAATAGGAATTTATTTATTTATTTATTTATTTATTTATTTACTTTTGAGACGGAGTCTCTCTGTGGCCCAGGCTGCAGTGCAGTGGTGCGATCTCGGCTCACTGCAACCTCCGCCTCCCGGGTTCAAGCGATTCACCTGCCTCAGCCTCCCTAGCAGCTGGGATTACAGACATGAGCCACCACGCCCGGCTAATTTTTGTATTTCAGTAGAGACGGGGTTTCACCATGTTGGCCAGACTCAGGTGATCCACCTGCCTCCGCCTCCCAAAGTGCTGGGATTATAGGGGTGAGCCACCGTCCCCGGCAGTTCTGTCACCTGCCGCAGGGTCCCCTGTTAACCTTGTTTCTCCTTCCCTACTTCACTCCCCTCTTCTCTCTCAACTCCTCGGGCTCTGCCCCACACTTCCCGGTTACTTCAGTTCCTCCACCTCCACCTCCACCTCCCTCTAACCTTCTGCCTCAAGTTACCCACCGCCCCCCTCAGCCTCAGGTACCGCTTCTCTGTGGTTCTCTCTCCTCTATCTCAGGTTCCCCTGCTTCCACCTCAGTTCTCTTTCCACAGCTTCTGACCCTATGTTCCCGGTCCACAACCTCCCGGCCACACTCTACCCGGCTGCTCCAGCGTCAGCGCCCCCAGGCGGCGGATGCCTTCCTCGTCCAGCTCCCACTGCTCCGCCATCTCCTCCCGCCGCTCACCTGCCGCGGCCCGCGAGAACACCCGGCGCGCGCCAGGTCCCGCCCACTGCCACGCCCCCAACCCCCACCTCCCGCGCGCCACCGCGACCCCGGGAACCGTTATTGGCCGGGTCACAAGCCCGTCCGCCCTCAGCTGAAGCCGAGACCATGGTACGTAGCCCGCCCTGGCGGGGGCGCCAAAAACACCAAAGCGGCGAATGGGGGTCGTTGTGGCCAAGGATTAGGGCTACGTGGTTAGAGACCTGGTCTGGGGAACGGGGGAGAGCGAGGGGCCCCCACCTGGGAAGGATTTGGGGGATTGGCTCTGAGGAGTTAGAAGAACGCGATCTTGAGGGAGTGAAGTGTTCTGGCTCTGAGGATGTGGGGAACTCCGGGTCTGAGGGCTGGGGGTGTGCCCCTTTGACGGGGAGGTCTTCACATCTCAGCTCTGGGGGATGCTGACTCTGGGGCAAGGAAAGGGTGTGTGTGAAGGGGGGATCCAGCTCTGAAGAACTGGAGCGTGGGGACAGAACTCTAAGGCATAATGGGGAGCTCCAGATCTGAAAGGTTGGGAATCCTGGCTCTAAGGAGTTGTGGTCCTGTCTTTAGATTATGAGGCGGTTCTAGCTCTAGAAATTGAGTTGTACGGGCTGGGAGCGGTGGCTCACGCCTGTAATCCCAGCACTTTGGTAGGCCGAGGTGGGCGGATCACCTGAGGTCAGGAGTTCAAGACCAGCCTGGCCAAGATGGTGAAACCGTATCTCTACTAAAAATACAAAAATTAGTTGGGCGTGGTGACACGGCCTGTACTCCCAGCTACTCGGGAGGCTGAGGCAGGAGAATTGCTTGAACCCGGGAGGTGGAGGTTGCAGTGAACTGAGATTGCGCCACTGCACTCCAGCCTGGGCAACCTGGGTGACAGAGCCAGACCTTGTCTCAAAAAAACACAAGAAGAAGAAGAAGAAATTTACTTGGACGGAGCTTCTTTGGGGTAGAGGGATCAGCGTGGGAAAGAGAGAAGCTCTTTGTAATGTGGTGGGGATGACTGCTTTAGGGCTATCCCGTTTCCTGAAGTCAGTCTGGCAAGAAGCCTTTTGTCTTTCAAGCACCACAGGTCCCCCTAAGCTTGCCTGTGACTGAGGGCTGTCCCCAGACTGGGATAGCTCTGCACTAAGCAGCCCCTGAGCAGTCTTTGGGAAAGAACAGCTGCATCCCTAACCCCTACCCTTACTCCAGCAGGCACTTCTTGAGAGCCCACCTGTGGATGGGACATGTATGTAAGAAGGAGCCAGGACCCTCTTGTCACACCCTATTCTTAACAAGAAAAGAGGAACTGAGACCAGAACTGGGGATCACCTGCGAGGAGTAGGTTTTCTTTGGCATCCAACATCTGCACACTCTCAGCACCCCCTACTGAGCTCTCAGCCACCTTTAAGGAGAACAGCAAGCAGAATCAAGAGTCCTTCCTTGCATATTTATGCTTTCTGGTCTAGGTGGGACCCTTAGTCACTCCATGTGTCACGTTCAGCCTTTTCCTGAACATGAACTTGTAGAAGGGCTTTTAGAAGGGCTGGGACTTAGAATCCTAGGTTAGCTCATTAGATTGATTTTTCTGGCTCTACTTCTGTCAGTTATGAAGTCATTTCACAATTTGTCATCTTTCTCTTAATACCCCCTTGAACTCTTCTAGTCTCAAATGTGGCATATATAATTGCTCTTCCTTATGTCTGAATATTTAGACTAGGCTTGCTGTGGGAGAGATGCCCATCCCATTCTTTCTTACATGCATTTATTTTCTTTCCTCAGCTGTCAGAATAGGAAATGCAGGTTCTTTCTGGAGCAGGGAGCTTTTCCTTTCTTAAGTAATCACCTCTTACTTTAACACTCTTTTTCACCCACGAACGTCTTAATGCAATTTTATAAACATTCAGAAAGATTGAAAGAATTGTACAGTGAGCACCATATATCCACTATCTACATTCCACAATCAACATTTTGCTCATATTTGTTTTATTACATGTCCATCTAGCAATCCTATCTATCCATCAATCTGTCTTTTTAAAATTCATCTCAAGATAAATTGAAGATATCAGTACATTGCAGTCCCATCACTTCAGCATGCATAATTTTTAATTAGAATTTGATATTGTTTTATGGTTCTTTTTAGGTAAAATTCTATATACTATTTACTATCCTTTAAAAAATGTTTTTACAAGGGTAGTGCCCTTTATTTTAAAATTTGATATGGATGGTTTGTATGTTTGATGGCTCTCTACTTTTCCATCATATTGATAAACTAGGTCATCTTGAAGCAAAGAAGACAATTTACTTATAAATAGATGACCTTAAAATATTTTTTTTCGGCCGGGTGCGGTGGTTCAAGCCTATAATCCCAGCACTTTGGGAGGCCGAGATGGGCGGATCACGAGGTCAGGAGATCGAGAACATCCTGGCTAACATGGTGAAATCCCGTCTCTACTGAAAAATACAAAAAAACTAGCAGGGCGCAGTGGCAGGCAACTGTAGTCGTCCCAGCTACTCTGGAGGCTGAGGCAGGAGAATGGCGTAAGCCCGGGAGGCGGAGCCTGCAGTAAGCTGATATCCAGCCACTGCACCCCAGCCTGGGCGACAGAGCAAGACTCCGTCTCAAAACAAAAAATACATATTTTTCTTCAACAACCTCTTGTCCAACAGATGTACAGATGACCTTAAACTTTTAACAATGAGCTGAGGAAGGTTAGTGATCTTTGCTGCCTTTGTATATATGAAAAAGTATCTATAGCATTCATCCCCCAGTAATGTAATGTCTCTGCAGGTAAGATCTCAAGAGAGTTCTGCATGTGCTCCATAGAATGGACAGTACTTCATCTATTTTTTTAACAGATTTATTGAGATATAATTCACATACCTTATAATTCACACATTTTAATATGTACAATTCAGTGGGTTTTAGTATGTTCAGAGTTGAGCAACTGTCATCACAATCAATTTTAGAACGTTTTCACCATCTCCAAAAGAAATCCAATTCTCATTAGTAGTCACACCCCATCTCCCCATAGCCTCTCCAGCCCTAGGCAACCATTAATCTATTTTCTTTTTTTTTTTTTTTTGAGACGGAGTCTCGCTCTGTCGCCCAGGCTGGAGTGCTGTGGCCGGATCTCAGCTCACTGCAAGCTCCGCCTCCCCGGTTTACGCCATTCTCCTGCCTCAGCCTCCGGAGTAGCTGGGACTACAGACGCCCGTCACCTCGCCCGGCTAGTTTTTTGTATTTTTTAGTAGAGACGGGGTTTCACCGTGTTAGCCAGGATGGTCTCAATCTCCTGACCTCATGATCCGCCCGTCTCGGCCTCCCAAAGTGCTGGGATTACAGGCTTGAGCCACCGCGCCCGGCCAATCTATTTTCTATCTTTAGAAATTTACGTTGTCTGCACATTGCATGTGGATGGAATCATATGTGATTTTTTGTGTTTGGCTTCTTTCCCTTGGCATAATGTTTCAAGTTTCATCCATGTTGTTATCATGTATCAGTACTTCATTCCTTTTTATTTTTTATGTTTTTAGAGATGTGCCTCGCTCTGTCGCCCGGGCTGGAGTGCAATGGCATGATCACAGCTCACTGCAGCCTCAAACTCCTGGGCTCAAGCGAATCTCCTGCCTCAATCTCCCAAAGTGCTGGGATTACAAGCACGAGCCACCATGTTCATCCCATTCCTTCTTATTGACAAACAGTATTCCATTTATGGATATACTACATTTTATTTACTCATCTGTCAGTTGATGGACGTTAGGTTTATTCCCGCCTTTTGGCTATTATGTTCTTGAACATTAGTCTAGAAATTTTGGTATGGACATACGTCTTTATTTCTCTTAAGTGCACACCTAGGAGTGGAATTGCTGGCTCATAGTAGAATAACTCCATGCTTAACATTTTCAGGACTCACCAAACTGTTTTCCAAAGTGCCTGCACCATTTTACACCTCCACCAGCAGTGCATGGGGGTCCTGGTTTCTTTGTCGACACTTGTTATTATCTATTGTTTTCATTCTAGCCATACTAATGGGTGTGAAGTAGCATTTTGTTGTGGGTTTTGATTTGCATTTTTCTGATGACTAAGGATGTTGAGCATCTTTTTTCGTGCTATTGGTCATTTGTATATATTCTTTGGAGAAATGTCTATTTAGATGCTTGGCCAATTTTCGAATTTGGTTGTCTTTTTATTATTGAGTTTATGAGTTCTTTATATATTCTAAAAACAAATTCTTTATCAGACAAATGATTTGCAAATATTTTGTTCCATTTCTGTGGGTTAAAAAGGATTTTATAGTTTTAAGTCTGTGTTTCACTTGGAGCTAATTTTTGTCTGTGGGGTGAGGTAGGTGTCCAACTTTATTATTATTGTTATTATATTTTATGCATATGGATGGGCAGTTGTCCCAGCACCACTTTTTATAAGGACTATTCTTTATCCATTGAATCATCTTGAATCACTTATCAAAATTCAATTGATCATAAATATAAGGGTTTTATTCTGTACTCTCAATTCTATTCCACTTATCTTTATATTTATCCTTATGCCAGTAGCACACTGTCTTGATCTAGCTTTGTAATAAGTTTTTTTTTTTTTTTGAGACGGAGTCTCACTCTGTCGCCCAGGCTGGAGTGCAGTGGCGCAATCTCGGCTCACTGCAAGCTCCACCTCCCGGGTTCACGCCATTCTCCTATCTCAGCCTCCTGAGTAGCTGGGACTACAGGCGCCCGCCACCATGCCCGGCCAATTTTTTTGTATTTTTAGTAGAGACGGGGTTTCACCATGTTATCCAGGATGGTCTTGATCTCCTGACCTCGTGATCTGCCCGCCTCGGTCTCCAAAAGTGCTGGGATTACAGGCGTGAGCCACCCCGCCCGGCCTGTAATAAGTTTTAAAAGTGGGGGATGTGAGGGCGATCTGGCTGTGACATCTGTCACTTCATTGATTGCCAGGGTTGATTTGGCTGATCTGGCTGGCTAGGTGGGTGTCCCCCGTCTTCCCTCACTGCTCCATGTGCATCCCTCCTGAAGCTGCATGCTCAGTCAAAGAGGACGACCATCCCCAATAAAGGAGGACCAGTCTTCAGTCAAGGGTATACAAGTATCTGCTCTTCTTAGCTAGAACCTCCAAACAAGTTCTCAAAGTCCATTGTAGGAGCACGTAGGGTAGTCAAGCTTCCAAGACTTCAGACACATCCTAATAAGGCACTGCATGTGGCAGTCTGCCTTTACAAAAAAAAAAAAAAAAAGTGGGAAATGTGACTTCTTAAACATTATTTTCCTTTTTTCAAGACTTTTTTAGCTATTCTGGGTCCCTTGTATGTTCATATGAATTTTAGCATCAGCTTTTCAATTTTTGCAAAGAGTCAGGATTTTCACAGAGATTGTGTTGAATTTGTAAATCTGGAAGACTATTGTCATCTTAACGATATCAAATCTTCCAATCCATGAGCATCAAGTATTTTTTCATTTATTTAGGTCTTTTAAATTTTCACAATGTTTTGAAGTTTTCAGTGTACATGTATTTCATTCTTTTGTTAAATTTATTCCTAAGTATGTTATTTTTGATGCTATTGTAAATGGAATTGAATTGTTTTCTTAATTTCACCTTCAGATTGTTCATTACTAAAGTATAAAAATACAACATTTTTTAATATTGCTCTGCATCTTTCTTTTTTTTTTTTTTTTTTTTTTTTTTTTGAGACAGAGTCTTGCTCTGTCGCCCAGGCTGGAGTGCAGTGGCCGGATCTCGGCTCACTGCAAGCTGCGCCTCCCGGGTTCACACCATTCTCCTGCCTCAGCCTCCCGAGTAGCTGGGACTACAGGCGCCGCCACCTCGCCCAGCTAGTTTTTTTTTTGTATTTTTTAGTAGAGACGGGGTTTCACCATGTTCGCCAGGATGGTCTCGATCTCCTGACCTCGTGATCCGCCCGTCTCAGCCTCCCAAAGTGCTGGGATTACAGGCTTGAGCCACCGCGCCCGGCCTGCTCTGCATCTTTCAAACTTGTTGGGCTCATTTTTGTGTGTTGTTGTTGTTTGTTCTGTTTGTTTTTCTTTTTTGAGATAGGATCTTGCTCTGTTAGGCCAGAGTACAGTGTTACAATCATAGCTCACTGCAGCCTCAAACTCCTGGTCTCAAGCCATCTTCCCACCTCAGGCTCCCAAAGTGCTTGGATTACAGGTGTGAACCACCATGCCTGGCCTGGACTCATTTCTGATAGTTTTCTGGTGAATTCCTTAGGATTTTTTACATACTAGATCATGTCATCAGCAAACAGAGATAGTTTATTTCTACCTTTTCAATCTGGATGCCTTTTTATTTCTTTTTCTTGCATAGATCTCTCTTTCATTCCCCCTTTAGGAGGAGTTTGGCATGTCTCATGAATCATCAGAGGACTTGTTTCATTTCAACGTAGGGGGCTGGCATTTCTCGGTTCCCAGAAGCAAACTCTCTCAGTTTCCAGACTCCCTGCTGTGGAAAGAGGCTTCAGCCTTGACTTCTTCAGAAAGCCAGAGGCTATTTATTGACAGAGATGGTTCCACATTTAGGCACGTCCACTATTACCTCTACACCTCCAAACTCTCCTTCTCCAGTTGTGCAGAACTGAACTTGCTGTATGAGCAAGCATTGGGTTTGCAGCTGATGCCTTTGCTGCAGGTAAGATGCTCTTGTTTTCTGGGAGTGATGGATCAGTAACATGGCTTTACATCACTAAATGTTGTTTCCTGTTATATATTGGTTGCTGAGATGACCCTCTTAATGGGCAAATGTAATAAGTGTGTTAAAGTAATAAATAATTTCCTCATTAGTATAGGGGTGAGTAAAAAGGAAAAAAAAAGTAAAAAACAATACACTGAAATTACCTGCTTTTGTTTTTTTGAGACAGGGTGTCTGTTGCAACCACAGCTCACTGCAACCTCTACCTCCCAAGCCCAAAGGATCTTCCCGCCTCCCACCTCAGTCCCTCTGAGTAGCTGGGAACACAGGTGCATGCCACCATGCCCAGCTAATCCTTTCCATGTTGCCCAGATTGGTCTTGAACTCCTGGGCTCAAGTTATCCTCTCTAATTGGCCTCCTTTAGTGCTCCCTTGGCCTCCCTAAGAGCTGGGATTACAGGCATGAGCCACCACACCCAGCCTACATATTCTTAATAAATGATTTCATCCCAACTGTGCTTTAGTTATACTAGCAGCCACCATGGACCCAGAATGGGATTTACTATCCACTGAGAGGGTGCCCCTGGCTCTTGAAAATCCTGTATTAAGCTGCTTCTTGTTTTTGTTTTTTGAATCTTAAAAGGAGAACACTTTAGACATTTTAGGATTTGCTATGTACATCACGTCTGAGATTTAAAATCTAAAAGATTTATCAAGAATATCACCTCTCATTGTGCCTGTTAGGTACACAAGATGCATTTACAGCAAAGCAAAAAGTTCTCATCTTGGGCCAAATGTCAAGAGAGAGAGAAAAAAAAACAAGTTCTGCAGAATCTTTCCTTTACCATCACTTCTTTGTCTTCCAAGAAACTTTATTATTATTATTATTATTATAAAAGCTTTAAATACCTTTACTTATAAACCATTAAAGTACTGCCAAAAAACATTACCTTTCCTTCCTAATTTTTCTCCAAGCCACAGAAATCATTTCTGTGACTGATCTTAAGTAGTTTATTCAGTAGTTTTTGAACAATTCTTTTTAACCTGGAAGAACTAAATATTACAACTGGGAAGGACCATTGACCATCCTCCGTATTATTCCTACCGTCTGTACAAGTTGTTTATTCCATCTCTATCAGCACTAACCTGACAAGCTGCAGTGTAGCTCAGTGAACTACCAACTGCACCTCAACACTTTTTAGAAGAAAATTGAAATAGACCATGCGTATCTGGGCCAAAGAGGAATGAGAACATTTCATAGTGTATGTTTTTATGGATGCTTCTTACTAAATAATTCAGTGTTTTCTCTTAAAAGTCATTCTATATTTGGAAATCAGAAATTCTTTTTTTTTTTCCTTTGCGATGGACTTTCACTCTTGTCACCCAGGCTGGAGTGCAATGGTGCAATCTCGGCTCACTGCAACTTCCGCCTCCCGGGTTCAAGTGATTCTCCTGCCTCAGCCTCCTGAGTAGCTGAGATTACAGGCACCCGCCACCACACCCGGCTAATTTTTGTATTTAGTAGAGATGGGGTTTCACCATGTTGGCCAGGCTGGTCTCGAACTCCTGACCCCAGGTTATCCACCCACCTCAGCCTCCCAAAGTGCTAGGATTATAGGCGTGAGCCACCGCGCCTCACCTACAAATTCTTAATATATTCCCAGGCAAGTTGCTGTATTTTTTTTAGTTTTCTTTTTCAAGCTACCTTCTTGAATTTAATTGTTTTTTTCCAACTGCCCCAGGAATGGAGTACTAGAATTGTTTACAAGTGGCTTCAAAACCACTTAAATGGCCTGTCATGACAGGATTGCTGACGACTCTATGCCAAGGCATCATTTTGAGGTAGAAGGGAGGGAGTAACTTACTTGTTGCAGAAAATCAGAGATCAAGGCAATTTTTTAAAGAACATTTTAAAGAATACAAGCCTATTGTACAGTGTATTAAGCCCTTTAACCCCTTTGCTGTCTTCACTTCCCAAATTGAATCAAAATATATCAAGGAAGCAGCTTTTTTTTTTTTTTTTTTTTTTGAGATAGAGTCTTGCTCTGTCTCAGGCTGGAGTGCAATGGCGCTATCTCGGCTCACTGCAACCTCCGCCTCCTGAGTTCAAGCAATTCTCCTTCCTAAGGCTTCAAGTGGTGGGATTACAGGCTTGTGCCACCACACCCGGCTAATTTTTGTGTTTTCAGTAGAGACAGGGTTTCACCATGTTGGCCAGGCTAGTCTTGAACTCCTGAGCTCAAGTTATCCGCCCACCTTGGCCTCCCAAAGTGCTGAGATTACAAACATGAACCACCATGTCCAGCCACAGGCAGCTTCTAAATGGGAGGCTGCACCTCAGAAGCCAATGGGTTGGTCCAATTCCAAAGTTCCACGTTGTGTGAGGAGTAGAAGTATTTGAAGAATCATGTGGATCTGCCTCCCTAAAAAAGACTGTAAAACAAGTGCTTACACTTTGGAAATGGTGTTTTCAAAGAAATAAATATTTGAGTTGGCCCAACTGAAATGGTGTTTATTTCTTGAAGCAGAGTGTAAATACAGCTGGGAACCAACAGTCGCCTCAAGCTAATCAACAGCTTCACACATTTCCACCACTTTGCCACTGCTAAGGCCTATCAGATACTCAGATTTTTTTACTAAATGAGCAAACACTTTGCTTGGAGAAATTGGAATTTGCCAATTCTTAGTCTTTAGACCCTACTCAGGCAGCCCAACTTAATGCATTCACCCAATATTTATGAAGAGCATTCTGGGTTCCAGGCATTATTCCTGTGGGCTTTGGGGAAAACATAGGATGATCCAATAAAAATATAATGTGAGCCATGTATGTGGGCCACTTATGTAATTTTAAATTTTCTACAGCTGCATCTAAAACAGTAAAAAGAAACAGATGACGTCAATTTAATAATATATTATTATACTCAAAATATTAACTATGTATTCAAAGCATTATTAAATATATTCAGAATGTTATTTCAACATGTAATCAATATTTAGAAATTGAGAAATTTTACATTCCTTGTACTGCGTTCAAAATCTGTTATGTGTTTTATACTTACAGCACATCTCAGATTCAGACTGTCACACTTCTTTCTTTCTTTTTTTTATTGTTTTTTTTGAGACAGAGTCTCACTCTGTCGCCCAGGCGAGAGCGCAGTGGTGCTATCTTGGCTCACTGCAACCTCCGTTTCCTTATTCAAGAGATTCTCATGCCTCAGCCTCCCGAGTAGCTGGGAATACAGGTGTGCAGCACCACGCCTGGCTAATGTTTGTATTTTTAGTGGAGATGGGGTTTTGTTATGTTGGCCAGGCTGGTCTCAAACTCCTGGCCTCAAGCAATCTGCCCACCTTGGCCTCCCAAATTACTGGGATTACAGATGTGAGCCACTATGCTGGGTCTCAGACTGTCACATTTCAAGTAGTCAATAATCATACGTGGCTAGTGGCTACCATATTGGGCAGCATATATCTAAACTGTTCTAAAATGTTAGTACTCCTTACCATAGTGTCTTTCAGATTTAGCCCCTAACAATAAAAATGGGACTTTTTCTCCTGCTAACTAAGGTTCCCATGCACTCAACAAATGCATATTCTACTCAGAATTATCTGTGACATAGTAGGCTTTGATGGAAAGCCATGTAGAATGACCACCAATCAGCACAAGATGGGAAGCTTCTGGAGGACAGGCACCCAGGCTCATGCTGCTGCTCTGCTCTCCACCCCTCCCCATTCCCCACATCCCCCAACTCCACCTGCCCACCCAACCCCCACCCCTAGCCCGTAGTTGTGGCCTCCAAAGGATACACTTGCTGTTTATTAGTGTCTTATTGTATATTGAGCACCAAACTTACACCAAGTTCTGGAGATACAGGAGTGAAGCCTATAGCTGTACAATGTCAGGTAGAGATATATGCTATGAAAACAAAACAGTGCTTCCTATGTAATGAAGGAGGAGGGCATTTCTGTATTCCAGGACTTCTTGGAATTTCAGATTGTGTTTATATGATTTTCTTTTTTCTCTTTTTTTTTTTTGTAGTTTTTGCTTATTCAATCAGTCTTTTAAGCAAATGTATATTGCTACATTTTCCCCAGTATATCATTGTTTTACTGTCCTTATAGTACTAGAACTTAGTTGAAAGAATAAAACATTCACATTGAATCTGCTTGTCTTTTAATATTCAGATGTGTAGTATGCAGCAAGAAGGGTAAGGGGATAGCAAGTGACTGGAGCCAGGGAAGTGACTCCTGTACTGAGTGATCAGAGGCTGGGCATGGTGTCTCACACCTGCAATCACAACACTTCGGGAGGCCGAGGCAGGAGGATCTCTTAAGTCCAGGACAAGAGCAGCCTGGGCAACATGGCAAAACCCCGTCTCTACAAAAAAAAAAAAAAAAAAAAAAAAAATTAATTAGCCAGACGTGATGGTGCGTGCCTGTGGTCCCAGCTACTCAGGAGACTGAGGTGGGAGGATTGCTTGAGCCCAGGAGTTTGAGGCCACAGTGAGCCGTATTTGCACCACTGCACTTCGGCCAGGGTGACAGAGTTAGACCTTGTCAATAAATACTTAAATAAGAAAACAGTGATCAGACAGGCCTCATTGACAAGGCAACATTTGAGCAGAAATCTGAATGAAAAAGGGGCAAAGGGGTAAGGCATATAAGTATCTGGGGAAAGAACTTACAGACATTAGGAATAGTTAGGCCAGACGCGGTGGCTCACACCTATAATCCCAGCACTTTGGGAGTCCGAGGTGGGTAGATCACTTGAGGCCAGAGTTGGAGACCAGCCTGGCCAACATAGAGAAACCCCATCTCTGCTAAAAAACAAAAAAAGTAGCTGGGCGTGGTGGCTCACGCCTGTAATCCCAGCACTTTGGGAGGCCAAGGCAGGCGATCATGAGGTCAGGAGTTCAAGACCAGCCTGGCCAACATGGTGAAACCCCATCTCAACTAAAAATACAAAAATTAGCCAGGCATGGTGATGCACGCCTATAATCCCA